GCCCAAGTGGAGACCTTCCACGACGTGATTCAGTGAGGAAATTCCACCAGGAACCTGCTAATTGACCGATGCTGCTAAGGAATGAGAAGCTCAGCCTTAAGAGATGAAAGCTAGCAAAAATACTTTCGGTTTGAAGAATCTGTTTATAAATGGGGAGGTGTAGAAAGCTCTGCAGAGATAGACTTGGATTTCAGTCTCCACCTTCCAGCTCACTGACTGGGAGACTGGGGACAAGTTACTCAGCCCTCCAAGCTTCCCTGTCTCTAGCTATAAAACAGAGCTTCTACCCACTTCACAGATTCTCCGTGTCACGTCGTGTCCTGCTCGCCCCACCCCCTGCTTTCTTTTCCTCCAGAGCACTTCCCACCTTCCATCCTTATATACATGTTTGCTTACATACTTTGTCATCCTCCCTGACTGAAAGAGAAACTCTACACCAGCAGGGAGTCTGGTCTGATCCGTTCACTGCTGCATTCTTGACATCCCTGAAGCCTAGAGCCACATCAGGCCCTGTAGTAGTTGCTCACTAAATATTTGTTGAACGGATGAGTAACTGAGTAAAAAGCACCATGCTCGACATGCAGTGATGGGTGGCAGTGGCAGTGCTCTTACTAATTTCTATGGGGAGAAAAGCCATTGCCAAACCATCTTCAGAGTCAGCACCGCTGTTCTCAGGGCTGAGTGCCCTTTGAGACCAAAGTTCCTGTCGCACTCTCTCCCTTCTCCGAGGCTCTGCCGTTGTTGGAGAATGGGGGCCTGACCCTTGCCTGGGCTGGGGACAGTGGAGTCACACATTCAGAGAAACCGAGCGGAGGAGAATCGGCAGCAGGATTCCCAGGACTCCTGGAGGGTGTCCGAGAAACCGGAAGCAGAGGAAACCCCGCTCATTGAAACCAATCAGGACATCAAAGAGCCCTCGGGGCCCACAGCTGCCGAGGAGATTCCCACAGCCTATGGCTCGAAGGCTCCAGTAGATGGATGGTGGAGAGAAACTGTCTTCTCTAACCAGAACCCGTGTCTGAAATCACAGCCAGCGAAGGCTCGGAAAGTGAAAGAGCAGTGAGTCTGACTCGCTTTATTAATCTGGGCATTTGCGATGGCAGTCAGGATGCTTACATCTTTCATCCTCCACGTGCCTCACACCGGGAACTCACAGACACCCGGGATGCAGCAGTGTGGGGCTGATTATAAGGAATGTGTTATTCTGATGGAAAAGACTTTCAAAGACTCCGCCTCCCAATAACCTGCCCACTGGACATGTTCTAGAAGGAAAGTCTGGTATCAAAATGTAAATCTAAACAGAAACCAAAATAGCAAATAGCAACGTGCATTAATGGGACCCTTTTATGTGTACCAAACCCAACATTCCCTCAACTCCTTGGCCCCAGGGTATTGTTCTTTGTTGTTACTGTTCATCTCCTTTTCATCTTTTGATACATCCTTCCAAGATTCTCGCAGCAGCGTACTTCAGAGCCCAGACTCTCTTATGGAAAGCATATGTCTTTGGGAACATACTGTCCCACTTGAAGTTCTGGAGCCAGTTGTAGTTCTGTTCCAGGATCAAGTGAGAAACAGTTATTTGCAGGGCTGGAAGGAACTTCAGGTTAGCTCCTCAGCCAGGAAAAATCACACTTGAAGCAAAGAGTTTCTAAAAGATCTCTAAGAAAAGAAGAGCATCTCCAGTTAGCCTATGGGTCGTCGTCATTCATCTGTCCATTTATTTTATTCATGCAACATTTGTGGAAAGCTTACCATGAGCAAGGTCTGTGCTCAAAGCCCAAAATGCCAAAATCCCAAGATAAATAGGATCCATCCTTCCCCTCCAGTAGCTCGCATTCTAGGAGAGGAGACAAGCAGCAGTCCAATTTGACAAGGCCACGGCAGAGGTGTGGTCAGATTCAGGTCATGGGGCAGGAGTCGAGAGACAGGGAGAGACAATTTTTCAGAGGAGAGGATACTCTTTGAAGAGAAAGAGAGGGTCCTTAACTATTGAATAACTGTAGAGCCAGGGCACGGACAGAAGCCAAAGCACACTGGTGTGGTCCCAACCAATGCCTGTGGGCCAGCGATCTTTCCTACTAGCATGGAGAATCTCCAGGACTTAGAGAGAAGTGGAAAAAGCAAAGTACGATGTTGAGTATCAGAAGTCAAGGTGGGAGTTACCCTTGGTGAGGTTGTGACAAGAGTGGGGCACGAGAGGGTCTCCAGGGTGCCAGCTCTCTGTGTTTTGATGGCTTTGTTTACTTTGTGGAAGTAAATCAAACCGAACACTGTGATAAATGCAATTTTCAGTGCAAATGTTCAATCAAGCGTTGTATGTTTACCAAAATGTTCAAAAAAACCCAAATATCACGCAGTCAGGCATGGCTCAAATTCTTGCGAAGGGCTCCAGCAAACAGTGTGCGTGGAATATGAAAATAGAGACATGAAGCAAAGCCACACTGAAAGAGCCCTGTACGCTGAAAGAAGGAGTTCGCACTTCATCCTCAAAGACTCGTGGAGAGAGCAAGCACTGATGGAGCTGAGGGGCGTGTCAGAACGTGGCCCCTTGTGCCACAATTGAGTTACTGGGTATAAGCTTAAAACTCTCCACCTGCAAAATGCAGCCATGATTGTATTTGCCCCCAAAAGCTATTTTGAGGATTGAATAAGATAATGCACAGAAATGTTTCGCAGAGTGCTCACTAGAGTCAACAATAAATGTTTGCATTTTAGAAAGCTTCCTCAGGCAGGAATGAGGATGGATGGGGGACAGCCAGACTGGCATGGGGAGACAAACCAGAAGCGTGTGGCAGTAATCTAAGGAAGACAGAATGAGAGCCTGACCGGAATAGGGACAGTGGAAGTCATGGAGAGATCCACAAATGTGAGGGGGTACAATTAAGAGGCTTGATCTGGGAAATGGAAGAGAGCAAAGTCCAAGGTGACTGTCAGGTGTCTGGCTCAGGGCCACGTGAAGATGGTGAAGCTGTTAGAAAGTCAACATGAGGAATAGACTTGGCAAGATCATGCATCAGATTTGGAGCCTGTTGAGTTTAGGGGTCCTGGGAGACACCCAGGTGGGCAAGTCCACAGGAACTCAGTGGAGGTGTTCAAGCTAAGGACATAGATTTGGGAAGGATGTAAAAGCTTGTTGAAGGTGAATGAGTAGGTGAGACCCTTCGGGAGTGATGTACTGAGTGAGAAGAGCCAGGGGCCAAAGATGGAGCCCGAAGTAACATGGACATATAAAGGGGCAGACCAAGAAAAGGAACCTGTGAAGAAATTTGAGAAGAAACGATCAGAAAAGGTAGAAGGAACAACCAACAGAGAGTGCTATTAGAGTAGCCAAGCAGGGTGTCATCAACTGTGACAGATGCCACAGAAATGACCCGTTAAACGAAGACAAAGTAATGTTCATCGACTCCTGCATATGATGGCCATGGGGACTTCAGGGGAATAGTGAGACACAAGCAGGGTTGTCCTATGTATGTATTACGTGACTTGGAAGAAAGCAGCCAACAGCTGCAATCCAGGGGAAGGAGAGCTACAGGGCAAGAAGCTGGGGTGGGGGTGGTGGGATGAGGAGTCAGTCTCTTCCTGAAGATCAGAGTTTCCAGTATTCAACACCACCTGTTTTGGAAAATGTTAGACCTCTCTTCCTCTCTCCCATTCTCCCGTCCCTCCTCGTTCCTTCTCTCCCTCTCTCCCTTCCTTCCTTTTTTTCCATCCTGCGTTTCTTCTCCAGAAGCCAAAGAATAACTTATATAACTGGAAACACTGAATGTGTTGCCTCTTTTAAGTGTTTTTAAAATAAGATGTTGACCTGGGGGCTGTCTGCGCGGGAAGATGGTTTGGGAGTTAGTGTGAATGAGTGAGTACATTCCCCGCATTTGCGGACCCTCCCTTCGCAGACTCAAAGCCTGTTTCTCCCGCCTTGGGCTGAGGCGGCCATGTTGGGAGCTGGCAGCATGTTTCCCGCAGTGATGCGATGCTTCTCCGCCCTGGCCACCGCACCCCGTCCCCCCCCCCCACCTCCGGCCTGCCTCTTCCACCCAGCGGGTAACCATTTGCCTCTAGAACTTGGGTCACACGACTTCTCCCGCCCACTCCTCCCCAAACCTGCTCTGGCTTCCAGGTAGGGCTCAAAACATACTGTCTTCAGAAACTCCCTCTTGCGCCCATCAGTTAGTCACTGGGTGGGGGTCATTTTGCATTTCCTGAGGGGTCCTGTGAGTTATTCTCATTCTGGTATATAAGACTTTGCCTTATTGGTGAAATCATAAGGATCAGGGTAATTCTCCACGACATCTAGTGGGCCATTCCATGTAGAGTAGGTGCCCAGCTAAGGTTGGCTCGCAGAAGGTAAGGGCCTGAAGTCTGCGCTAGACGATAAGCTCCCAGGGCAGGTGCCGGGCTCATGCATCTTTTTACCCCTTCAGCGCCAGCTCCCTAGGGCTCTGACCATCTATCCATTCCGCAGAAATTTACTGAGCACCTGCCAGGTACCAGAAACGGCACTAGGTAAGCTGAGAATTCAGCAGTGAACCAGATCCCCGGTTCTAGAAGAGGAGACAGCCAATAAGGAAACAAACAAAGGAATAAATCCAATAACCACAGGCTGTGGCAAGCTCTTTGAAGGAAGTTAACAGAGCTCTGTAATGAAGAAGGGGCACGTCTATGCTCAGACCTGAAGGCTGCTAAGGAGGGAATAAATAAGTTGCCCCTCAGCCTTCTCTTCCTATTTAATAGCCCCACAACCTTAACTTTTCCTTCAATAAAATATTCAAAGGGGTACAATAAGGTGACATGGTATGGGTTTTCCTGGTCAGTGGGTTTACAACCCACTAACGCATCCGATCCTTAATGAATCACCGTCTCTCTAAGGGTTGTGTATGTCACCTGCACTAGGGGGGCGGCAGCCCTGGGGTCCGCATGGAGGGACAAGGGAGAAGGTGCCCAGCTGCGCGGCATTCTGTCCCAACACCAGCCACTTGAGCCCATGGTGGTTTGTTTTGCAGGTGAGCCGGCCTCATCCCAGCGACCACCCTCTCCTGATCCTCTTCGTGGTGGGCGGGGTCACGGTCTCAGAAGCCAAGATGATCAAAGACCTTGTGCCGTCCCTGCAGCCAGGAACCCAGGTACTGAGGCCTCTGTGAACAGTGAAGGAGGGTCCTGAGGCACCAGTGGGAGGATGGCCAAGGGTCCTTCATCCGGCTTCCCAGCGCCTCGCCCCGTCTCCATCCCGCCTTCCTTCTCCCACCCACTCCTGCCCTGTCACATTCCCCCTCCACCTGCTCCTGGGTCAGCTGTCCTCCTGCTGGGGACACAGGGAGGAGAGCTGTCCCTTACAGTCCTCGCCTGCCTCTGGGCTTCAGGGGCTAAGTTGCTATTGTCCCTAGTCCCCCTGAAGGGCATATATTCTCTTATGTCCAGTCAGCTCTTAGCTACTCACAAGTTGTTACTCAAGGCGCATCATCAAGACGATGATAGATGTAGTATCTGTCTCCTCTGTCGCCTCCTGCCAGTGCCCCTTCATCCCCTTAGAAGCGGCCCCATGGTCAAGAACACATACCTCTCGATTGTATAGGTCTGTCCTTGAGTCTTACCTCTGTCATTTACTAGCCAGCTGATCTGGGAAAGCAAAGCCTTCCATTTTCTCCCGGAAGCAACAGGGCTAGGGTGGCTGTGAGTCTTGGATCAGGTAAGGGGAGAGCATGTACTTCTAGCACCGTGCCTGCCCCATAGCTCTCAATAAATGGTGGCCACCCTTAGTATCAGCCATTTCTGGGCGGTCAGCACCCTGCTCGGCGGTGGGGGGGGAGGGGGGCGAGGTTTAGCTGCTGACATGAGGCAGCCGGAGCCCAAGGGGAGGGACTTCGGGAGAAGGAGAGCCCCTGCCTCTGGAAGTTCTAATCTGTCTGAGGGCGCAGAGCCGGCAACTCAGTAAGACTTTAAGTCCTTGCCTGAGTGGGCTCCCCAAAACAGGCCACGTGGCAGGGACATGAGAGCAGGTGGTTTACATGGGAGACGATCCCAAGAAGCAGAAGAGGCACAGGAATCTGAGAAGACAGACAATCGAGAGAGAAAAGCCAGAAAAGAGTGCTTTGTTGTAGGCAGCCGAGGCTCTGTCCTCTGGCGGCCTGAGGAGCCCAGACGACATGCCCCCAGATTGTCCTGCCGGGAGAGAGGGGGTCTGACACATCTTCCCATTGGCTCTCACCCCCCACCCCCATTTGAGACTTGCCTCTGAGGGCTTATCTTCAGCTTTAGCCCAGGGGGCCTCTGTCTCCTCTTAGGCTAAGTTCTGCCTGTCATCGGCCTTCCACATCTCTGCTGGAATCCAAACTCCGCACTTGGCTGTGCGACCCTGAACTGCCCGCCCACTGCCTCCTGTTCACTGCCCCATCTCCTCAAGCAGACATGGATTCCATTAGGACAAAGGCTGGGGCTCCCCAGGCCTGAGCACATGGCAAGAGTTCTGGAAGCCTGGTCTGCTGGCTTGATTGGCTACAGAGCAGCTCGATTGCCCCGTGAGGCAGAGAAGGTCTGGGTCCTGTGGTCTCCAGACACCCAGCCAAGGAACAGACCTGAGTATCTAGGCAGCTGTGGAAAGTTCTTGAATGGGGAATGACCAGTCATTGGCTGTGACCATTTCTGCTTTTACTACCACCTGTCATGGTCCTAGCTGGTGAAATTTCTGACCAAGTGGTCAGTTCTGCCTCATCTAACACCCTTTCAGCGGTGTCAAGGATCTGTTTAGCAAGCAGTTGCCTTTTTGAGCAAGACTTTTTTTTTAATCAGAAAGCACACTTCTCGCTGTCCTTAATGAGGTGAACCAAATTCTTAGCTCTCCAGAACAGTGCCGCATTGTACCACCCCGACAGACATGTTAACCCCCACTCTAGAAGGATACAATTGCAGCCGTTTTAAAAGCTGTGGGACCCAAGTTTGACAACACAGACCTGGGATCTGCAGCGGCTTTGCGACAACCCGACCCTGTGCCCAGTCATCTGCAGAGGGAGCTGCTCAGAGAATCCGGGGCTTAAGAAGCAGCCGTGATTGCTATGTGTCCATGGTGCAAGAAGTTCCCCCGAAGAGCTAACAGGGCCCAGAAAGCCCCCAAAGGCAGCAAGGAAGAACAGCAGAGGAGTTATTGATCATGGTGCCCTTGATCTCCAAGCTTCTAAAAGGAGGTGGGTTACCCGGATGTTTGCTGGGGTGGTACCTGCGGCGGCAGATCTTCCTTTCTCAGACCCCAACAGACTCACTCTGCCTTGGGTCCACAGCTACCTGTGTCCAAATCTGGGACGGGAGCAGCCACCTGCTTTTACACGTGCAGCGGAAGTCCGGCCTTGCTGCTCTAGCCGTCCACCAAACGGCTGCTCTAGCTGTCCACGAAATGGCATGCATACGGTGCCATTACCTGACTCAGACTTTGACATCTGTTGGAAAACACAGGTGAACTAATTGAAAGGCATAGGTTCTACTGCGTCTATGTGCCCAACAAACCCTCAACCAGCAAGCTAACTCGGACGTGACCGTCCCTGTGAACAGCGGTAATATGCGTTATCTAACCCTAGTATTCTGTTTTTACTAGCCAGCCTACACGTGAACACCTCAGGTGATGAGGACTCGCCCCCTCCCCCTGCAGCCTACCTGGGTCTTGGAGGGCCTTACTGTTATATCTGTCTCCCCTAGATGAATCCGAATCTGCCTCCTTCTAGCCTTGCTCAGTAGTGCTGGTCCCAGCCCCCGGGCCCCACAGAATTTACAGGCAAATCAGGCCCGTCCCTCTCCCACGGGTCTGCTCTTCTCCAACCCAAGGCTTTCCAGTCCCATGACGTGTGTCTGAGGGCGATGGGTGTGGCGGCCGTCCTCAGCCCCTCTCTGTCTCTCCCTCTCGAACTCAGCTGGAACGGAGAGCCATAGCTCGGTGTGGACAATGCTGAGATCACGAGATCAGTGCAGGGCAGTTGGATCCCCCGCCTCCTCATCCTCACCACAGCCGCCAAGGCCCGGCGCACCGTCTGAGGGATGGATTCTTTCCACTCGGTTTTCACTGCTCTAGAGCAGGGTCGACATCAACTGAGTCTACAGTCTTTTCCCCCCAAGTCCCTCAGTCCTGCCAACAAGGGAGGTGCGGTTGGTTAAGTGGTTGATTCTTGGTTTCTGCTCAGGTCCTAATCTTAGGGTTGTGAGATCAAGCCCCACGTCAGGCTCTGTGCTGAGCTCAGAGTCTGCTTAAGACTCTCTCTCCCTCTGTCCCTCTCCCACCTCTAAAAATAAATTGAAAAAAAAAAAAAAAAAGACCCACCCAGCCCTACAAATAGGGTCGGGATTGCTGGATGACATGATTGTTCATCGAATGTTGAATACTGAACACTAGAAACTTTACTTATATTATTGTAGCATAAGATAAAAGTAGCTCTTCTGGAGAATTCACCAACCTGTTGATTCGTTCCTGAGATTATGGGCAACTAAAACCAGCCTGACTTTTGTATCAGTTCCTATTAATCCACATCTTCTCTATATCTACATGGGTGCTTTGAGGACCCAAGCGCAGGAGCCTACCATCGCATCTCCTGAATTGGATTCGTTGATTATTCAGTGAACATTTGTTGAATATCTGCTTTGTGCCAAGCACTGTCCTTCTGCTTAGGATAGAGTAGTGAGCGAGCCAGACTTGTGCCTGCTTTCGTGGAACTTACATTCTAATAGTGAAGGACTGATGTCAAGCTCAAAAACTCCAACCAGAGATAAGGGTGCCAGGAACACAGACGGTGCTATGGTGGGAATAAGTGGAGGGGGACGTTCCTTCAGATGGCACAGCTTCCCCATGGAGGAAAAGAATTTGAAAAGCATTCAGGGACCAGCTCTTCAAAGGAAACTCATAGAACCCACTACGGCCCATCCAGGAATGAATTCTCTTCCATAGCAAGTGACAAGGTAGCAGGAAACATGGAATCCAGAAACCACATGTCCGCACCTGCTAGTCTTGTAGGACTGTTGTCATACTCTAAAACGGGTGTGTTTCCTCCACTCTGCCCGTGGTTGTTGGCCAAGGGGCCCGTGAGAAAAAGTGGGCAGCTGGAGAAGGCTCTCTGTCCCAACTACAAAAAAAGGGATCGAAGAAGCAGCTCCCCCCACCCCACCCCACCCCAAGCAGCCCAACCATGAGGCAGGAAGCTTCATAGGCTTCCCTTCACTCTGGAGTGCTTGTGCCCAGCACCGGCCCCTGTCTCACTAGCTGCCTGTTGTGGGGCCCCATGCCCAGATGGCTCTGCAGGCTGAACTCTGTGGCTGGATGGGGGCCAAGAGGCCCACAGAAGCCTGAGATTGTGGGAGGAAAATAACAGGGAGGGACCCTCCCAGAGGACACAGGGAAAAGCCAGCTCAGGAAACAGAGAAAGACCATGTGGGCAAGTTGGCGCTGCCGTCCACCGCTTTTCATAGGCAGATGCATGTTCCCACCCACATTTTCCAGCACTTCTATGTTTCTGGAGCTGAATATTTAGTGAGAATGTAAGAGAAAAAACAAAGTAGACCAAGAAATATGCTCATACACACACAGTTTGGCATAACTTTAGGGGTTCAGGATACCTAAATCCTGGCTCCAGGTTATTCTAAAATTGATTGAAAGACCCAAGAGAGGAGTCCAGTGACTTCCTTTTTTTTCTCTGTTCAGTCTAGATTTATTTTATTCCTTTTTTTTAGATGTATTTGTTTATTTGAGAGAGAAAGAGACAAGTGAGCAGGGGAGGGGCAGAGGGAGAGGCAGGGAATCTCAAGCAGACTCCACACTGAACATGGAGCCCAACACGGGGCTCGATCTCATGACCCTGAGATCATGACCTGAGCAGAAATTGAGAGTCAGACGTTTAACCCACTGAGCCACCCAGGTGCCCCTAGAGATTTATTTTATTCTGAAGTTTCTTACTCTGAGGAAAACATCAATGAGGTTTTAAATTTATCTTTTTTGCCTGAGTTAGCGTAGAGCCTTATAATCTGAACTAGAAACTCTAGAGACAGTACAGATCAAGGTATTGGATGGCAGCCCACATGTTCATAGTATTCTTGTTCACACTGTCCTTCACTCCTGTGAATGAACAATTCTGAAGTCATTCGCAGTGTGAGGTTT